TTATTTGAACAAACGAATGATTTACTTTGCTATTCTATTTGCTATTGTATTTTGTATTTGCTTCTGTAAATAATTTCTCAAATGCTGATTCCATTGCATTTATTTATTATATTTCAATGAATTGAGTCAAATGATTAACTAATAAATCATTTGGAAGTAATTTGTTTGATTTGGAGATAAAATTACTCTGTGTACATTTTTAAAATGAAAATAAGAAATTAGTGTTATGATATGATTCATTGTTTCAAATTGTTATTTTTTTTTTATCTTTGTCTGAAATAAAATTTACCTAAAATTCTACTTAAAAGAAAATACTTTACTGTTCAGATAACTTGATATTTGAATATTATTATATCATCAGAACATGATTAATGACTAAAAACTCATTCTATTCTAGTAATTTAATGTTTGAACATTTAAGATAATCGGAAAATATTGAACATTCTATTCTACATGAAATTATTGCATTTATTTTTCCATTCTTTGTATTTACAATATGTCAAAAAATCAACTAATGACAAAGAAATTTAATAAAGATGCCATAGTTAACTTGATTAAAGGACATTGAAGTTTACACTGTCGTTTTGTCATCCGATATTTTGTTGCTCAAGTATGACAAGTAGTGTTTGCGATTAATTTACTGAACAAAAAATGAATAGGAAAAAATGTGGAGAGACTAGAAGATGAATTTGAAGTATCGTCAACGATAATTAGATTATATTAGAAATCGTAAACATCTATAATAAATTTATTGATTTGATTTAATAATTAAATTTAAATCTAACATCATTTCTCCACCTTTACTAGTTTATTATACTCGACGAATAATTTTGTACTATATTTGAAAACTATAATTGAAACGACCAAGCTCTTCAATAAACAAATATATTATAATTAGAAATCATTTCAATTTGTTTAACACCATGTTTAAACTGCGTTTAAAATAATTGAGTTGATATCGTGAAGTCACAGGTGACTATTTGTACTAAAAAAATGTGTTAAAAAAATTTAAGTTATTTTATATATATTTATATACCTCTGTGATAGAAAATTTCTATATTTTATATTTTTATATTTTACACATTTAAATTTCACTTTATTCTATATTTCATCTTTTTATATTTTATTTTGTTCTGTATTTTATATTTTTATATTTTATTTTATTTTACATCTTTCTGACAGAGATTAATAATAAAAATTAAACTAAAAATTAACCAATGTCGAACATAAATTTTTATATTTTACTTTATTCTATATTTCATATTTTTATATTTTATTTTGTTCTGTATTTTATACTTTTATATTTTATTTTATTTTACATCTTTCTGACAAAGATTAATAATAAAAATTAAACCAAAAATTAACCAATGTCGAACATAAATTTTTATATTTTACACATTTATATTTTACTTTATTCTATTATATTTCATGTTTTTATATTTTATTTTGTTCTGTATTTTATACTTTTATATTTTATTTTATTTTACATCTTTCTGACAAAAATTAATAATAAAAATTAAACCAAAAATTAACCAATGTCGAACATAAATTTTTATATTTTACACATTTATATTTTACTTTATTCTATTATATTTCATGTTTTTATATTTTATTTTGTTCTGTATTTTATACTTTTATATTTTATTTTATTTTACATCTTTCTGACAAAAATTAATAATAAAAATTAAACCAAAAATTAACCAATGTCGAACATAAATTTTTATATTTTACACATTTATATTTTACTTTATTCTATTATATTTCATGTTTTTATATTTTATTTTGTTCTGTATTTTATACTTTTATATTTTATTTTATTACTTTATTCTATTATATTTCATGTTTTTATATTTTATTTTGTTCTGTATTTTATACTTTTATATTTTATTTTATCATACATCTTTCTGACAAAGATTAATAATAAAAATTAAACTAAAAATTAACCAATGTCGAACATATTTTTATATTTTACACATTTATATTTCATATTTTTATATTTTATTTTGTTCTATATTTTATATTTTATTTTATTTTATTATACATCTTTCTGACAGAGATTAATAATAAAATTAAACCAAAAATTAATCGAATGTCGAACATAAATTTTTCGAATATTCAATGATACCAATATTCGAAAATTCAATTGTTCACAATCAAATTGGTGTAAACTGTTTTCGATCATTTTCGATCCAGCGACTCGTTCGTTTCAACTCAACAGTCGCCTAATGCAAACGTAACTTTACACGGTCGGCTGTGAACAATTTAAGGTCGATCGCGACTTAGTCGTTGTAAACGCAGCTTAAAGCGAACGATCGATCAGCGTGTCAACGATTCTTCGATAAAATCGCCTCTGTAGCACTGCGACAGTGCACTGCGCGGTACCGAGAGGGGAACGGTTCAATCGACAAAATGGATTGTCCGTGGCGTAATGCGGCTTGAACACGCTTTGTGAACGTAATACAATTATTTAACGGCGGCACAGAAGTCCGCTCATTAAATCGTTCACGAATCTATGTTAATGGCCGCATTTCTCTGTTATTATGCTGTCAAAGTCAATGCTCAAATGCCGAAATATCGACAGGGTGTGCAGCGCGTTGCCTTTCTGCGATCTATGAATCTTTCAACGAAATTTCAAAGCCGCGTAATACGGTTTGCTGTCGTTAATGTTGAAAGAATATTAATTTCGGTTGAACGGTGAAAGCACTTGTGGTCGAGTTTAAAAAATTTTACGTATTTTAGGTATTGTGTAGGTCCAAGAATTTTATAATGTTAATTTATGGAAATCTGTTAATTTAATTAAATACTCATTCTAATATATTGTAATAATAATAATGTAGTGCAGTAACAGCATTGCGGTAATTTTATTCAAAATTTTGAAATTAAAAGACCTGTTATCTGAAATTTGAATTAATTGATTTTAAATTTATCAGTCTTTTTATTAAATATTTTATTAATTATAAATATTAATAGAAAATATGTATATGTGTTTCTTCGATAGTCTTAACTTTTTAATTGAAGGAGATAGTGGATTAATTTATTAAAATAGGCTACTTTCAAAATTTATATTACAGTTATCTACGTTAAAACAAATTCAGAAATTATTCCATATAGTATTTTCATTTTATACTAATTTTATAGTAATAATAATTTTTAATTAAATATAACATTTGATCAGTTAAAATAAAATATGAACATTTGATCATTGAAATAAAATATATTTTAGAAATTCATAAGCTATTATTATAAGTATTTCTTTTTTTACAACGTCAATTTTACGGTAATAACAATTTTTAATTAAAATTATCCTTTACTATTATTATTATTATGTTAAAATAAATTATTTTGAACTATATTAAATTATATTAATTTGCAACATTCTTAATAGAGATAAATTTTGATCGCGAATAATTAAAATATATATATATATTTATATAATATATATAATAAATATATATATATATATATAATCTTGTTAGCATTAAATTATATAGAATTTTTTATTAATTTTATTATATTTAATATAAATAAATTGTATATAAAATATTAATTTAATTTATAATTTAACTATAATTTTATTTATATTGTTAATATCAATAATTAATTTAAAATTAAAATTTAACATGCATTTTACATTAAATATAATTAAATATTATTAAAATGTAAATAAAGCAATGATCATCAGAAGATTAGGGATTATTTTGTATTCTCATTTCATCCTAAATTGAAACTCGTAGCATTAATTTGTGTCGGAACTAGCTAGTATAGAAGATCTTATCCGTATGCAGCTCCACGATGGGAATTTATAACTCATTAACCTAAGCGACACGCGATAGTTATGCATCCTACAATTATATCAAAGGTGAATTAACCAAATCAGACGGAAGCATCGAATACTTTCTACTCCAGTTAAATTATTAGTTATTTAATGAAAAACAAAATATCTACATTCGTGAATAATTAAGTTACGTAGGTATATATTGTGCGTATTGGAATTGAAATGATCTTGATAACATTACATTATTTAACGTTACGTAATATTCGTAAAATAGTAACATTTATAAAATTATAACGTTTATGAAATAATATTAATATGAAATAGGAAATGATTTTTCAGAGATTGTGTTAATGAAATTAATGAGAAATCATTTTATTTTTTCAATGAACTAATTTTTTTAGAATGTTCTATATCGTAAATATTCGCTTTGTTTCTAAATGTAATTAATTATTGTTCAATAAGTAAATAATTTTGAGAATTCGAAAAAATTGATTAATTTGGTCATAAAGTAAAAGAATATTGTAATTCATGATTTTTTTCTCTTTTACGCTATTTTTCACATCGGCAAAAATACGAACATATCAAGATAAACGTTTTAATCTAAGTCTTCAAACGAAATAATAATTGTCAAAGGTTTTAACATTATCAATTTATTAGTTAGTTATCTCATTTTCACTAATTAGTTTTCTTATTTTTAAGTGCGCAATTGTTCAATTCATACGCACATTTCAAAACACGAAATGTAATAAAAATAAATAATAAATAATAATAATAAAACTTAATAGTAATAAATATTAATAATAAAAATAAATGAAACTAAATAATAAATAATAATAATTATATTATTGTATTTTACATTTTGTACTTTTCATTACTATATTACTATTCATTACTATAAAATTTATAGTAATGAATACTAATAATAAAAATAAATAATAAGTGATAATAATAAAATTAACAGTAATAAATGTTAATAATAATAGTAATAAATATTAATAATAAAAATAAATCAAACTAAATAATAAATAATAATAATAAAATTTATAGTAATGAATAGTAATATAGTAATGAATATTAATAAAAATAAATAATAAATAATAATAATAAAGTTAACAGTAATAAATGTTAATAATAATAAATATATTAAAGTAAATAATAAGTGTATAAATATAATAGAAACGGGTCGAATTGAGAATTGCTCGAAAAGATGAAAACCAAAGTTATAATGATTTTTGTTGCAGGAGTGCAAGCACCTCCCAGAAATGATTCGGTTCGTTTGGAGCCAGGACCTTTCGTGAGTGGTGCCGGAGCACTTTACATCGCCGCCACATGTGCGTGCGCTTTGATATTAGTCGTCGGAAGCGTAGCAAGCGCCTTGTACATTCGTAACAGCAAGGCTCGCATTCAAGAATCCCAGTAAGTACCTATATACAGTTTCTCGAATACATTACATTAAAGCAAATTTCCAGTTTCATGTTTGAACAGCTTGAAGAATTTACTTTCAAAAATTTAAACAAATATAATATAGAATATAATAAAATAAAATGAAAAAAAAAATATATATATATGTAATTAAAAATAATGACATTCGTTGGATAATAGACGACTATCGTGTTATCCAATAATGTTAAAATTATTAAAAGTCAAGATATTTGGTTTTATTTTGTATTTTATATTTTCAGTGATAGAGATCAATAATAATGAAGTTCAATTAAATTCCATTTGTATTTCTAATTCTGATGATAAAATTAAATAATTTAATTCTAGATTATTATAATTCTCAATAATGAAATTAAGTAATTATAAAAATGATTATAATTCTCGATGACAGTTAAGAAGTAGATACACTTTAGAAATTGCAGTTCTTAACGTCATTTGAATAGTATTTTTTCTCGTTACATGTTTTACAAGTAGATGTTTCTTCCCTCGTTTCTTTTCCATTTTCTAGATCTTTATTGTTGATTTAAATATCCTTGAAAGATTAGTTAATTAAAATAGCTAAACGCTTGAATTAAGATATTCACTAACATTAACCAGGGAAATAAAACTATTTTAGATAATAGAACAACCACTTTCTTAATATTAAATTGAAAATTAAGAAAATTGTCAGAATTGTTTAATTTTTATTATCGTACGTAATTTTATAGAATTACTTCGTTGCAAGAAGATGTATTATCATCACTTACATTGATCTTCAACATTCATAAATGATTGATCACGTTGATCTATCATGGAATTAAATTTAATCTTTCCCATTTATGTTCAATTATATTTTTTTTCGTTATATCTTATATTTTAATGAGCTCTTCGTGCCTCATATATAGTATGCATATTATAATAATACAATATTCTATTTATTGAAACAAAATTTTAATTAATATACAATTAACTGAACTTTTGTTGATTAAATTCACTTATTTGAACTCAGTTATTGGGCTCTCATTACATACGAGCGAAAAATAATCTAATTACATAAACTAAATAAAGAAAAAGAAAATCTATTACTAATAAATATTTTGCCCAGATGACAAAATTATACGTGATCGTTTCAACGATTCGTTTATCACTATTTTTTGTTTATTCGTTTGCTGTGATCTTATTTGCGTCTCGATTAAATTAAATTATTTAGTAAGAGATGTTTGGAGTGTACGATATATTCTGATAGTAAATAGAAAGATTGAATATTGGATACTCTACTGCAGTTTGGATAATCGAGATCCTACTGAATTTGTATTTTCAATGGTATTTCTTATAATTACCCTAAATATAGAAGAGTATAGATTTACACTGAATTACTAATCACAGATTTCTTGTTATCATTGGTATTAATATACCAAGTCAAAATAACTGTTTTATAATTTTTGTTAGGTATTTTATAGATATAAAACAGTGTATTTCTAAAAATTTAAATGGTCTCAATGCATAAATAAAGAGGAGCTCTGTCATGTGATTCTTT